GTGAAGTGGAAGGACAAACAAGATGTTTTGGTCCTGTTTTCCATTTACACAGACACGATGATCCAAATTATATAAAAAATGGTGCAGCGCTGCTAATAATAAACCAGCATTAAATCCACTTAGACAATGCATACAAAGGAAATAAAAACAGCACAAGTGAATCAACCCCCTTGGTGACAGCGTAAAATGACATATATCAATCACTGGTGTCAAGGTGCAAATTGACACACACTTAGTAAGTGACTAAGGGGTGATAAACAGTCCAATTTGAGCACACAGGTGAGGAACTCTTCAAACACGTGGATGTGTCATACATGCCACAGAAATCCCAAACCAATCTGAGTGCCCCCTCACCTCCTTGCAATGACCTCAAGGGCCAACCAGCGTTCAACAGATAATCAGGCAATCTCCTGCTGATCCCTTCAGTATGACCGGAATGATGGTAGCTTTTGCCAGACCTCTTCCTGCACTCCACCGCTCTGGCAACACCTCTATCTTCCACTCAGAGACATAAACCAAACAGGCTCCATAGTGCAATATATCCAATTTATTAAATAAAAAACAAAATACCCACTTACATGTAGGCAAACGACCGCAAACAGTTATCAGCTGTCCTCCTGACATGCGGCTTCATGGAGTCCCAATATGGCGCGGACGCCGGAAGTGACGTCACCGCGTTCCGGAATAGACAATGGACGTACCAACGCGTTGCGTCACGAATATCACGTGACTTCATCAGGGACCCAAGCTAATTCCTTGGGGTGTCTACTTTCCAAAAAGGTTTCATTTAGGTTTTTTTTCATACTGCCCTGGCATTTTAGCAGCTTAAGAAATGTGATAAGCAGTCAGAATGTAAATTTCCTTAAATTCCAGTATATATACCATACTTTGTAGATGCTATAACTTTCACACAAAACAATTAATATACACTTGTTGGTATTTTTTTTTTATGAAATACATATAGCAAAATATACTTTGGCCTAAATTTATGACAAAATTTGAGTTTATTGGATATTTTTATAACAAAAAGTAGAAAATGTATTTTTATCAAAAATGTCAGTCTTTTTTAGTTTATATTACAAGAAATAAAAAACCCAGTGGTGATCAAATACCACCAAAAGAAAGCTCTATTTGTGTAGAAAAAAATTATCTAAATTTTGTTTATGTACAGTATTGCATGACCGGGCAATTACCAGTTAAATTGGTTGTAAAGGCTGAAGGTTTTTTACCTGCATAGAAACCTTCTGTGTTAAGCAGCTCCCCCAGCCCTCTCAATACTTACCTGAGCCTCATAGTGATCTAGCAATGTGAATGACAGCCTCGGCTGTCACGGGTCTCTGCCTCCTCATTGGCTGGGAAAGCAAGCGGGAGCTATTGGCTCCTGCTGTGGTCAATTACAGCCAGTCAGCCAATGAGGAGAGAGGGGGTAGGGCCAAGCCATGGCTCCATGTGTGAATGGACACAGGGAGCAGTGGGTGCCCCCATAACAAGCTACTTGCTGTGGGGGTACGTGACAGACAGGAGGAGCCAGGAGAGCCTGTGGGAGACACGAGAAGAGGAGGAACCAGGCTGCTCTGTGCAAAACCACTGCACACAGCAAGTAAGTATAGACATGTTTGTTATTTTACAAAAAAAGAAAAAAAATGAACCTTTAGAATAACTTTAAAGAAGCGCAGTGCCAAATTGCAAAATACGGCCTGGTCATGAAGTCATGAATAAAGTCACCCAGCCCCCTTCAACACAGGAAACTATGTCACCCCACAGCAGGTCTTCATTTATTTTCTTCAAAAGTTGCAGCCAGAGGCTACAGTTGCAAGAAAAAGTATGTGAACCCCTTGGGATTACGTGGAGTTTTGCATGAATTGGGCATAAAATGTGCTCTGAACGTCATGTAAGTCGCAACAATAGAAGAACACAGTCTGCTGAACATAATACTACACAAACATTAGATGTTGCCATGGTTTAATTGCACATAACATGTAAACATAAACAGTGCAGGGAGGAAAAAGTATGTGAGGCCCTAGCTTAATGACTTCTCCCAGAGCTAATTGGAGCCAGGAGTGAGCCAACCTTGACTCCAATCAGTGTGATGATATTGGATGTGTTGCTGACAGCTGTCCTGCCCTTAAAAAAAACACACACCTGTTTTGGGTTTACTGGTTTCAAGAAGCACTGTCTGATGTGAACCATGCCTCGCAGAAAAGAGCTCTCCGAAGACCTACGATCAAGAATTGTTGACTTGCATGAAGCTGGAAAGGGTTACAAAATTATCTCCAAAAGCCTTGATGTTCATGTGTCCACGGTAAGACAGACTGTCTACAAATGGAGAAAGTTTAGCACTGTTGCTACTCTCCCTAGGCTTGGTCGTCCTGTAAAAAATGACTGCAAGAGCACAGCGCAGAATGTTGCATGAGGTAAAGAAGAATCCCAGAGTATCAGCTAAAGACCTACAGAAATCTCTGGCACATGCTAACATTTTTGTTGACACATCTACTATAAGGAAAACATTAAACAAGAATGGAGTACATGGGAGGACACCACGGAGGAAGCCATTGCTGTCCAAAAAGAATATTGCAGCACGTTTGAAGTTTGCAAAAGAGCACCTGGATGTTCCACAGCACTACTGGCAAAATATACTGTGGACAGATGAAACCAAGATTGAGTTGTTTGGGAAGAACACACAACACTATGTGTGGAGAAAAAAAGGCACAGCACATCAACATCAAAACCTCATCCCCACTGTAAAACATGGCGGAGGGAGCATCATGGTTTGGGGCTGCTTTGCTGCCTCAGGGCCTGGACGGATTGTTGTCATTGATGGGAAAATGAATTCCAGAGTTTATCAAGACATTTTGCAGGAAAACGTACGACCATCTGTCCGCCAACTGAAGCTCCGCAGAGGATGGGTGATGCAACAGGACAATGACCCAAAGCATACAAGTAATTCAACAAAACAATGGCTGCAACAGCACAGAATACGCCTTCTGGAGTGGCCCAGTCAGAGTCCTGACCTCAACCCGATTGAAATACTGTACTGTGGCATGACCTTAAGAGAGCGAATCACACCAGACATCACAAGAATATTGCTACACTGAAACAGTTTTGTGAAGAGGAGTGGTCCAAAATTACTCCAGATCGTTGTGCAGGTCTGATCTGCAACTACAGGAAACGTTTGGTTGAGGTTATTGCTGCCAAAGGAGCGTCAACCAGTTATTAAGTCCAAAGGTTCACATACTTTTTCCTCCCTGCACTGTGAATGTTTACATGTTATGTGCAATTAAACCATGGCAACATCTAATGTTTGTGTAGTATTATGTTCAGCAGACTGTGTTCTTTTATTGTTGTGACTTAGATGACGTTCAGAGCACATTTTATGCCCAATTCATGCAAAACTCCACGTAATCCCAAGGGGTTCACATACTTTTTCTTGCAACTGTATAACCAGCTCCGTATTGAGACTAAGTACTGCTAAATAAGAGAGAGTTCACCTGGCTAGATATGTGCATGCTGGAAATTTTTGTTTTGTGTTGGATGAATTGGTTCTTTGAAAAATTTAGTTTCATCATATTTGTTATGTTCAAATGATTAATTTTCAGAATTTGTTTCGTAGATTCATTGGTATGGGTGGATTTGAAAAATGTTGCAGTTTTTCCAGAAGATTTCTATATATTCAATATATTACTGAATCAGACAGATTTGACTCAGAAAGATTCAAAAATATTTTTGGACGCTAGTCCAACCCACCAAAAGAATTGGCATGAGCTGATTGGACAATACCAGCTGGCATCATGTGCATCTGAATTAACAAATGGAACAAAATTCAATTCCATTCATTAACCAAATCCAAATTATCGAACACATTCAAAAACTGAATTAATTTCCCCATGGGCCCAAACTACTATCACAACATGCGACATTGTCCTAATGAAATGAATGAAACAAATGCATTTGTTTGTTTTGTTATAATTTTTTTTTTAATCCTTGACATTCATTACTATATCCATTCAGTGGTTCGTATACATCTGAAACTCTAAAAATGAAATTTTTGTCCGAAAAAATAATCAACTGGCTGCATAAGACAGGTGTGTCAAGCAGGGAGGACCACACCCAGGAAGGAGCCTGACCATGGCTTGGAGCGGGAGCAGGAGCTCAATGTGAGGACTCCCGGCTCCCAAGCACCTCCAGTGTCCTGCCGAGAAGGGGAGAGATGTGCAGGAAGCCCTGGAGAGACTAGCCAGGGAGAGGGGGGGCTTGCCTGGCGGGGTACGTGGACCGAGGACCTCTGGGAGTGGCGGCTATCACGACGGGTCTTCCTGTGCTCTCGGCTCGGCGCTATGTGTTCCCTGGAGCTCAGTGGATTCCGGGCGATCAGGTGATCTGCCGCAAGGGAGCTCTGGGAGGCAGAGGAGCATTTCTTGGAGCAAGGGAGACGCCGGCTCTCTTCCTCCTGCACACAGGACCGTGGCAGCTGGAGAACCCCCCTGCAATCTACTCATTGTGTGAGGGGAATGTCGAGTGCAATGTTCCCCAGAAGAGAGTACCTGGAGCTGCCTCACCCCTCACTTGGAGTAAAGGAAGAGATGTTCTAAAGTGCGGGAAAGTCTCTCAGAGAAGTTCACTCCCATAGAAACAAGAGATCGCACTTGAGGGAGAAGTGCTGGAAATGTCTTTCATGTAAGTCCTATTTTTATATATACCATTGATAATACAAGAGGGAGCAGCCATAACGTTGTTCAGAGTGCGGACAATGTTTTTCACAGAAGTCCCGTCTGCATATATATCAGAGACCTCACATGAGGAAGATGCTATATCCCTGTTCTAAGTGCGGGAAATGTTTTCTCAGACAAAACTAGACTTTACATATATCAGAGATCTAACACAGGTGAAAAGCCATATGTCTGTCCTGAGTGGGGGAAATACTTTTCAGTGAAGCTTAGTCTTCACACACATCAGAGATCTTACACAGGGGAGAAGTTGCATACCTGTCCGGAGTGCGGGAAATGTTTTTCATGTGAGTCCTATTTTTATATGCCAGTGATAACATAAGAGGGAGCAGCTATACCCTTGTTCAGAGTGCGGGAAATGTTTTTCACAGAAGTCCAGCCTGCATATATATCAGAGACGTCACATGAGGAAGATGCTATATCCCTGTTCTAAGTGCGGGAAATGTTTTCTCAGATAAGTTTAGACTTTATATATATCAGAGATCTTTTCACTTTTCACAGGTGAAAAGCCATATGTCTGTCCTGAGTCATACTTTTCAGTGAAGGCCAGACTTCACACACATTCGAGGTCTTACACGGAGGAGAAGTTGTATACCTGTTCGGAGTGCGGGAAATGTTTTTCAGAGAAGCCCTTTTCTTCATATATGACAGGGATCTCATACGAGGAAAAGCCGTATTGGGGACAAGAGGGTGAGTGAGAGCGGCAAAAGTATTGAGATTAATATATTGCATGGGAACTGAACTGCATGTATTGAACTATATGTTTAAACTGAGGAGGGATTCAGCCAGGGGTCTTAGAGGAAAATCAGAAGGAGGACAATGTAAAACAGATAAAGACCTAGAAGAATAGGACCAGGGTAGATGAGTTCGGGAGTGGGGGGAGAGAAAAAGGAAGAAAAAAACTGAGAGGGGGATACCCATGGAAGACAACAAATTTTGATATCAAATCAAAAATAGGCCTCCCCCCCCAAAACCAGAACTGCGGAAAATTGAAATAGTCTCTGACAGCATGAAAAATAAAGTATCAAAGGGAGGAGGGCCTAAGGCTTCCCGAACAGGGTTAATTAAAAAATATATACCTTCACAGACTCCAGAGAGACAACAGGGAATAAGTGTAAGAGGTGAGAGGGAAAAAGGCGGGGAAAGTTCCAGACTATCCCTGGGAATAGCTAACAGTGGTCAACATATGGAAGGAGAAGTGGATATGGATAAAGTAGAAGAACAAGAGGAGAGCTCACAGATGCCTACATGCCCAAATTATACAGAAATTAGAAAAACGGGCGATGGAAATGAGAAAAGAACAAAGAAATCTCTGTTATATAAATTGGAAGACCAGGAGAATAGGGGTAGGAGATGCAATCTAAGGATACGAGGCTTTCCAGAGATCTCCCAAGGAGAAGATTTGACGGGAATAATAACGAGAATGCTGAATACTATATAATGGATAGAATTATAACAGAACCTCTCAAAATGGAGGGAGTGTATAGAATAGGAAAATATATACAAGAAAATAGAAAGGAAAAGCCAAGAGATGTAATAGTGCAATAGCATAATTTTCAGGATAAAGAAGAGCTTTGGAAGAAGATAAAAAGAAGAGCAATGATAAAATATGGAGAAATAAATATACAGATCTTTGCTGATTTAGCAGCTGAAACATTAACAAGAAGGAGAACTTTGAAACCGTTATTGGAACAGATGAGAAAACAGAATGTTCAAAATAGCTGGGGGTTTCCAGCGTGTTTGATTGGATGGAGAAATGGATGTTCAGCAAGACTGATTCCCCGAAGATCTGAGAGACTTCTGTGAGAGACTTGATATACAGAGAATAAATATCTCTGGTTGGGAAGAAGAAGAAGGAAAAATGTGGGCTATGGAAAAAATGAGGGGAGGCAGGTAGCTCTAAGGAGAAACAGAGAGTAGGACTAGTAAAGAGACAAGCTTATTGGGGAAAAGTTCATGGTCGGAGTTTCACCTTAAAAGCTTAATCAAAGGTGGGGTTAGGACCACAAATGATTCATAGGCAAAATGTAAGCCTAAAGGGAGATGGGGGGGGGGGGGGTGGGGGGCGGGGGATGAGTGGGAGGAAGGGAGGAGGGGTGGAGGAGGGTATGGGGTGGGGATAGGTAGTTTAAGACTCTGCGAAATAGTGGGAGAAACATCAGGAGAAATCCTAGAGATCAAAGGGGAAGATGTGGAGGAAAGAGGAAGAGTAGTGATGGGGAAGATAGAGGTGTGGAGAGGAGAAGAATGGAAGAGATTCACTTTGTGACCTATAATGTTAAAGAGTTAAATAGCCCTGGGAATAGATTTGGGATTTTTAAAGAAATTCAACATAGATTTTCTTCAGTGTTTTTTTACAGGAGACACATTTGGTGCAAGAATCAAATGTGAAATTAAATTCCAGATATTATCCAATGTGGTTTTATGCAGATTCCCCAATTAAACATGCCAAGGGAGTGGCAATAGGTTTTGTGAAAAATATAAGGTTTAAGCTGCAAGACAGATTGGTAGATCTGGAAGGGAGATTTCTGTTTCTGAAGGGAAAATTACAGGAAATAGACTGTATATTAGCAAATATTTATTGCTCTATTAAGAAACCAAAGGTATTCCTAAAAAATACTCTGAGGAAGTTAATTGATTTCAAAAAAGGCAATTTAATTGTGGCAGGTGATTTCAATCTCTGCATGGATCCCCAGATGGATATGACGTCCCCTGTGCAGAGAGATGGTAGTAGGTCTCTGAAATCCTTGAAAAAAATGATATACCAATGTCAACTTGTAGACATATGGAGAATTAAGCACATGAAGGACAGAGACTATACGTTTTATTCTCATGCACATGAGATGTATTCAAGACTGGATTATATATTGCTGGACCATCAACTTATCAAGTCTCTGGTCAAAGCAAAAATAGAAGTGATGTCAATATCGGATCATGTCCCTGTCACAATGCAATTATTATGGGGAAATGAGCAGATCGGGGGAAATTATGGAGGTCAAATAAGACACTTCTCCAGGATTCAGAGATGGATCAAAGAATTAAAAAAGAAATAGAGCAATTTTTAAGGAAAAATTATTCTGGGGAAGTGTCCGTAGCAACAGTGTGGGAGGCTCATAAGGCCTATAAATCCTGATAGCGATTGGAGAAAAAAAGAAGAGGGAAAAGAAGAGAAAAAATAAACACGCTTCCTAGTGAACTCTGTGAATTAGAGCAGATACATAAACATAAAGTAACAAAAGAGATTATGCAGAGCGTAATAAATAATAGAGAATAATTAAATACATTTCTGGAAGAAGATAAGAGAAGAGTGTTCAATAAAATAAGTGAGAGATACAGATGGTGTCAGGAATGGATTTGCCAATAGTGGTGGGACTCACGATGCCTTGTGGGCTGCAGTACCAGGGCTGGCCAGCGGGTGCTCTCAACAACCAGAGGTTCACTTTGGCAATTAGCCATCACCTGGGGCTGATTGCAGGTGGTGTATTTAAGGGATGGCCAGACCTGCAGTCGGTGCCTTGGTGTGTGTTTTTCCATGGGCCCCTGTACCTTGTAACCTGCATTCCTGTTCCTGTTCCTGTTTCTGCCTGACTTGTTGCCGACCCTGCCTGATCCTGACCTCTGCTGACTTCTCCTGTTTGATCCCTGGCTTGTGACCCTGACCATTCTCTCCGCCTGCTCCTCCTGTACCTACCTGCCCGATAGTTATCGACCCGGCCTGCCTGACTACGTTGTGCTCTATATGTGTATGTACCTGTGTATCTATACCAGTTTAGGTTTGGGTTTGTTTCACCTTGTTGTATGTATTTGTGTTAGCTTGGGGTTTGGTGCACTGCGTTTATGTTTGTATTGTTAATCTTAATAAATTGTCTTGTTTATACCATATCTGGAGCTTGCGTTTCCCTGTGTCAGTACACACATCTCTGGTCACACCCGCATCCCTGACATTACACCAAGGCCAAAAACCTGACCAGAAGTGGCTGCACAGGGAGGCCATCTTGGCTTATTGTTGCTGGGAAGGATGGATCTTGATGAGGTGGTGTATTTATCTCTGCTAGTGTTTGATGACAAAGACTATGCTTATCAGACTCTTAAGGAGTATACCCGGGATCAACTGCTAGAGTGTATAAGGATCGCTCATTGTCTAGTTGATCAGGGCACAGAGTTTTCTGAGGTACAGCCATTGATCCAGGTTTGTGCTGAGTTGGCTCGGTCCTGTACCCCTGAAAGCAGGGATGACTTTTTTCCCCCATTTAGTGTGGATCAAGTGGAATCACTGGTATGGTTGTTGGAGGATGATCCAGATTGTTTCAAGGAGCACTATGCAGCATGTCCATCACATGTGCTTATGGATTGCATAAACGCAGTGCAGTCTTTGATCAGACAGGCTAGGTGTAAGCTGAGTTTTGTTAAACCAGTACTGCAGACATGGACAGATTTGTTACACCCAGCCTCAGTCAGCTTGCAACATCAGTCCTCTGCTCAAGGCACTCTTCCTGCATCCCCGACAGCACCCCCAGTGATGGCCCAGTATACTCTACTAACTACCACATACCAGTCCCCTGCTCCCACTCGCTGCACCTATCCTTTCTTCAACCCTGTAAAGAAGTCCTCTGTAGCAACTGCTCCCTCCTCTGTTCCATCCTCCAGCTCTTCTCTGTCTTCAGCTGCTCCATCCGTTTACAAACCTGCGCTTACTTACAGTGCTCTGGTAACTAAAACCAGGAAAAGGCGAAAATTCTTTCCAACCAATACCATCCTGCCAGTATCCAAACCGGTCAGCCTGCCATCTGAGAACCCACCTTCCGTGGTGCAGCCTGGTGCCTCGGCACCCACAATTCAGCCTGATGTCCTTACCCAGCCTGATGTCCTTACCCAGCCTGATGTCCTTACCCAGCCTGATGTCCATACCCAGCCTGATGTCCATACCCAGCCTGATGTCCATACCCAGCCTGATGTCCATACCCAGCCTGATGTCCATACCCAGCCTGATGTCTCTACCCAGCCTGATGAACTGATCCAGCCTGATGATCCTATTATGCCAGACGACTCGGTGCCCGCAGTCTTGCCAGATGACTCGATGCCCGCTGTTCTGCCAGATGACTCGGAGCCCGCAGTCTTGCCAGACAACTCGGTGCCCGCAGTCTTGCCAGACGACTCGGTGCCCGCAGTCTTGCCAGACGACTCGGTGCCCGCTGTTCTGCCAGTTGACTCGGAGCCCGCGGTCTTGCCAGACGATTCGGTGCCCGCAGTCTTGCCAGACGACTCGGTGCCCGCGGTCTTGCCAGACGACTCGGTGCCCGCAGTCTTGCCAAACGACTCGGTGTGCCCGCTGTTCCGCTAGTTGACTCGGTGCCCGCGGTCTTGCCAGACGACTCGGTGCCCGCAGTCTTGCAAGACGACTCGATGCCCGCTGTTCCACCAGTTGACTCGGAGCCCGCGGTCTTGCCAGACGACTCGGTGCCCGCAGTCTTGCCAGACGACTCGGTGCTCGCAGTCTTGCCAGACGACTCGGTGCCCGCTGTTCCGCCAGTTGACTCGGAGCCCGCGGTCTTGCCAGACGACTCGGAGCCCGCGGTCTTGCCAGACGACTCGGTGCCCGCGGTCTTGCCAGACGACTCGGTGCCCGCAGTCTTGCAAGACAACTCGATGCCCGCTGTTCCGCCAGTTGACTCGGTGCCCGCAGTCTTGCCAGAC